CAAACACAAGCTTAGAATCTACTCCCTCGCTCACTCTTTTAAGGGATTGGTCAATCCCATCCCCCCCCTTTTCATGTTCCCTCAGATGGCGGTGGCCCGCCATCACCACCGCCCCATAGCCATCATCGCCATTGCCCTCTCTCTCCCTTCTCCTCTCTCTTGTCGGCCAAAGACCACGCATCCGCAACAGGCAACTCGCCGACTGACCGTCACCTCACCCCCCACCCCCACCCCTCACCACACACACACACTACACACACACACACACACACACACACACACACACCACATATAGCAATATGTCTTCCTCCGACGAGGACATGGAGGTGACCCGGACGACTGCAGTGCATGTACCCACCACACTGGCTGCGGCTTCTGCTGCTGCCGCGGCAGCGGCAAAGGATACGGCGGCGGCGGCGGTGGCGGCGGCAGAGGCTACGGCAGGAGCGAGTGTGAGAGGTGCGAATGGTGCTGGAAGAGGCGGAGATGCACTGCGGTCGGCTATGGATGCTCATCATGCAAAGGAAGCAGCAAAGGCAGAGAGAGCAGCTCGGTTGAGGAGGGAGCTGTCACCGGAGCGGGCGGATCCGTATGCGGTAGCTGCTGGCAAGGCAAAGGAGACCAGGTCGTACGCTCTTGTTCTCCAGGAGGCAAAGCTGGCCCGAGCTGATGCTCAGATCAGGGCTCGTGTAGCCGAGATTGAGCGTGCCCAGGCAGCTGCGGAGATCACCGGCTCGACACCGCCGTCGGTTGAGCCTACTGCTGCCACTCCGTCGACGTCGTCGGTCGCAAGCTCGGCTGAACCGCCGCAGGGCCGGTCGCGAAAGCGGACTCGCTGGGGCGCTAGGACAGAGGCTGCCTCTGGTGGACAGGAGACTGTTGCTGGCACTGCTGCTTCTGCAGCAGGCGACGATGCTGTGGCGCCGGCGGCCAAGCGCCGCAAGGTCTCGCGATGGGACGTGGCGTCGGACGGCGAAGACGAGGCCAAGACCGGCCCAGGCGGCAAGGCCGGAGCCAAGGCGACCCAGCCGGCGTCGGCGGCCGGGGGCGTCGGCTCGACGTGGACGGACGCGCAACTGGATGCGCTCCTTCCACAGGGTTTTGCCATTGTCGAGCCGCCGGCCGGCTACGTCGAGCAGCACCCGGGTGCGCTGGCAACGTCACGGACTCGGGCGCCGGGCAGCGGCGCAGTCTCGGGCGAAGACGCGTACGTCATGCCGGCTGCCGAGGGTACCGTCTCGCTCGAGGCCTACGGGGTCCAGCCCGGAATGGTGGCAGACGCCGAGCGGTCGGGAGTTCACTCGCTCAAGCCGGACGACTATGAGTACTTTGCTCCGATTCTGGGCAAGGACGCCGAGGCCGAGGATGCGTCGAGCCTCTCGACTGACGAGCAGAAAGAGCGCAAGGTGCTGCGGCTGCTGCTGAAGATCAAGAACGGGCTGCCGTCGCAGCGCAAGGTCGCCCTGAGAACCATCACCGACAAGGCCAACGAGCTGGGCGCGAGCGCGCTGTTTGGGCAGATCCTGCCACTCTTCCTTGCGCCGTCGCTCGAGGACGCGGAGCGGCATCTTCTGGTCAAGGTTGTGGACCGTGTGCTGTACAAGCTCAAGAGCGCGGTCCGGCCGTTTGTGCACAAGATTCTGGTAGTCATCGAGCCGATGCTTGTTGACGAAGACCCATACGCGCGCGTCGAGGGCCGCGAAGTCATCTCGAACCTGGCCAAGGCTGCAGGCCTGACGTCGATGGTGGCCAATATGCGGCAAGACATCGATCACGCCGACCACGTGGTCCGCGACGTGACTGCGCGCGCCTTTGCTGTTGTGGGTGTCGCTCTCGGCGTCCCGCTCCTCATTCCACTGCTCGAGGCGGTGGTTGCGTCACAGACGTGGCAGGCACGGCACACCGGAGTCAAGATCGTGCAGCAGCTGGCCATCCTGCAAGGTGTGGGCATCCTACCGCACCTACAGTCGCTGGTGGCGATTGTGGCGCCACAGGTGACCGACGTCAAGCCGAGCGTGAGCAACATGGCTGCCAACGCGCTGGCGGCGCTGGCCGAGGCATCGGCGCCGTACGGCATCGACGCCTTTGACCCAGTTGTGGAGCCGCTGTGGGAGGGCATCAAGATCCATTCAGGCCGGACACTTGCGGCTTTCCTCAAGGCCATTGGGTTCATCATTCCGCTCATGGAGCCGGCGCACGCCAACCACTACACCCGCGAGGTCATGGTTGTGCTGGTCAAGCACTTTTCGACGGTTCTCGACGACATGAAGCTGGTTGTGCTCAAGGTGGTCGAACAGGTGATTGGCGCCGACGGGGTGCCGGCCGACTACGTCACCGCCGAAGTCTTGCCCGAGTTTTTTGCCCACATGTGGGTCCGCCGCAATGCGCTCGACGCGCGCTGCGCGCGGCAGTTGGAGGACACCACGGTGGCGCTGGCTGTCAAGGTCGGAGGCGCCCCGATCCTCACCCGACTCATCGAGTACATTCGCGACGACTCGGAGCCGTTCCGCCGCACAGCAGTGCTGACGGTGACCAAGGTTGTCGAGGCCTGCGGCGTTGCTGACGTCGATGTGCGGCTGGAGGAGCGGGTCCTCGACGCGCTCGTTCTGGCGTTCCAAGACCAGTCGACGCAGGACGTAGTGTTCCTCCGCGGGCTCGCGGCGTTTGTCAACGCGCTTGGCGTCCGCGTCAAGCCGTACCTGCAGCCTATTTTCACTGCGGTCAAGTGGCGGCTCAACAATGCCATGCCGCATGTCCGGGAGTACGCGGCCGACCTGGTTGCCGCCATTGCGCCCGTCGTCATCGAGTGTGACGAGGAAGTGCGCCTTGCGCGGATGGCCGTTGTCTTTTACGAGAACTTGGGCGAGGAGTTCCCCGAGGTTCTCGGCTCGATCCTCGGCGCGCTCTCGGCCATTGTCTCGGTCATTGGCATGACCAAGATGACGCCGCCGATCCGCGACCTGCTTCCGCGGCTCACGCCCATTCTCCGCAACCGGCACGAAAAGGTCCAGGAGAATTGCATCCGGCTTGTCGGCCGCATCGCCGACCGTGGTGCTCGCTTTGTCTCTGGTCGCGAGTGGATGCGCATCTGCTTCGACCTGCTCGACCTGCTCAAGGCGACCCGCAAGTCGACCCGCGCCGCCGCAGTCTCGACCTTTGGCTTTATTGCCAAGGCCATCGGTCCGCAGGACGTGCTTGCCACGCTGCTGGCCAACCTCAAAGTGCAAGAGCGCCAGAACCGGGTCTGCACCACGGTGGCCATCGCCATCGTCGCCGAGGCCTGTTCGCCGTTCACGGTCCTCCCCTCGCTCATGAACGAGTACCGGGTGCCCGAGATCAACGTCCAGAACGGCGTGCTTAAGGCTCTCAGCTTTATGTTCCAGTACATCGGCGAGATGGCCAAGGACTACATCTACGCCGTCGCGCCGCTGCTGCAGGACGCGCTGATGGACAAGGATCCGGTCCACCGGCAGACCGCCGCCACCGTGGTCCAGCACCTGGCGCTCGGCGTGTACGGTCTCTCGTGCGAAGACGCGGTCCTGCATCTCCTCAACTACGTTTGGCCCAACATCCTCGAGACTTCGCCGCACGTGATTAACGCGGTCATGGACGCCATCATGGCGTCGCGGCTTGCCCTCGGCGCGCCACGCATTCTCATGTACACGCTGCAGGGCCTGTTTCACCCGGCGCGCAAGGTCCGCTCTGCGTACTGGCGTGTCTACAATGATGCGTACGTGGCCAACCCCGACGCGCTTGTCCCGTTCTACCCAGACCTCACGCCGCTCGCCCCGCAGCCAAAGCCCATCTTCCCGCCAGGCTGTGGCGAGGGCCCCGCGCTGCCCTCGGTCACCGCTGGCCCGGACCTGTACGTCCGCTCCGAGATGGAGTACTTCCTGTGATGTTGTGTTAACTGACTACAATCGCGCCACCGCGGCTTGCAGCTCGCTGTGCCGGTCGCTGTCGAGCTTGCCGGCGGCCTCGGCTTCAGCCAGCCGCGCCCGGAGTGCTACGCCAGCGGCTTCCGCGTCGTCGGCGCTGATGACGCTGAGCGCTCCGCCCGACACCACCGCCGCAACCGCCGCCTCGGCCAGCGCCAGGTAGTCATCGACATCAAGGCCCGGTGAGACAACAAGTGCAACTAGTGCCTCGATCAGCGGGTTGCTGTCGTTCAGCGCCGGGGCCACCGTCTCGGAAGCCGAGTCGCGGGTAAACAACTTGTTGACGAGAACAAGAGTGCGAGTGACAAGGGCGCAAACCGGCTGCGCCGCAAACGGAAGGTGCAGCAGCGTGCCCAAGACTTTGAGCGGCGAGTGGATGTCGTCATCGGCAGCCGCCAGCAGCGCGGCGAGCCCGTCGCGGTGCTCGATCAGCGCCGAGACCAGTGAGAGGAGCTTCTTGGCAAGAGCAATGGCGTCAAGATCGGGCTCGCCTGGAGCGACTGACCTGTCCAATGCCAGCGGCGATGGAAGCTCGTCATCATCGAGGGGAGACGGCGAGCCGCCGACAAGCACAGAAGCCAGATCGTCGAGAAGGCCGACGGCAGTGGCCATGCCGCCGTGGTTGAGGATGATCTCCTGGGTGAAAGGATTGTTCTGCGATGCGGTGGCAAGAACCCATGCAGCACCGATGCGAAGGCTCGGAGGTGCCTCTGTTCGGCGGACCAGCATCAGCAACGGGGCCACGCCATCGATGCGACAAAGGTCCGACGCGGCATCAATGTTCTCGACCATAAACAGCAGATCCTCCAGAGCGAGCTCGCGCTCATCCAGACTCGCCTCTGTGTTGGCCAGCACCACCAGTGTCTCCTTCATCTTCTTTGCCTCGTCCGGAAACATCGCATCCAACCACTTTGGATCGATCGGCTCCAACGATGGTGCTGCTGATGATGATGATGTGTCTGTCGTCGTCGTCGTTCCCTCCGCCGCCGTCGCCGACGCTGTCGCCGCCGCAAGCGCCTCAGGCGACGAGTTAGCGATCGACCATTGAAGGAGCTGGTTGAGCGACTGGTACTTGGCGTCGTTGTTAAGAGCCATGCTGGTTTGGGGCTCTGTACGTAGGGTGTGTGGGGAGGTGGAGGGTTTGGGAGTGGGGGGGTGGGGGGGGGGTTGGGGGTGGGGCCAGACTGAGTGGGGCGTGACGGAATGGTTGGCCTTTTTGATGGTTCGGCGTCGATTAATTGGGGTGAGGCTTCATGAAGGTCGTTTAGCGCTTACGATACGGAAAGGACAAATTTGTCCATCGCGCAAGCCGCGCGCTCCGCGACGCTCCACAGATGTCGCAACGTCCATGAATTGCTGTAAAAGAGTAGCACAATGTGTTCATGGCTGCCACAACAGAAAACAGTCGGCGATGCAGAGATGGAAGCCGCACGCAGCGCAAAAGGTCCGCGGCCGCGATCGCATACCATGAAGCTTCCGGCAGGTGAGGCAGTCGCGTCGCAGAGCGGCTTGTTGGGGAGAGTGGTGATGACGAGCAGCCGCTGCAGAGGGACGCTTCCGCTTGCGCGACGGCGCGGAGCTGACGGCGTCGGCGCCGGCGGCGGGGCGTCGATGATGTCGTAGACAAAAGCCACGCGAGTCATGGCGGGACGTGGGCTCAGGGCAGCGTAGAGCGCGTGCGCGCTGATAAGCGCGGCGTCCAGAATCCAGTACAAGATGGCGTGCCACCACTTGCGCGGCCACGCCGACCGGCAAGCTCGTCCGTCGCAAGACGTCCTCGCGCCCTCCCATCTGGTGGTCAACCCTGTGATGCTCTCCTTCCCGGTCGTCGGGGTCGTCAACGACAAGCTCAACACCGTCCGCGCCCGCCGCTCCTCCGGATCGGCGCCATACGGCACCTCGCGCGCCTCGCTCATGCTCCCAGGCGTCCGTGACCGCGACGGCAACTCGGGCATCCTCCAGGCGGGCGTCTACGTGTCGGCCGCCATCACGTGCGGGCGCGCCTCCCACCCACCGAGAAGTCAAGCATCATCGAGTTGTTCACTTGAAGACGCGCGTCAATGCGTCCGAACGACAGTACCGTGAAGGGATAGCAGAGGTTGATCGTTTAGCCATCCATAATGCCGGATGGAGGGAAGAGTGGGCGATTAAGAGATGAGCTCGGTGACGATGAGGGTGCCAAGGTCCTGGAAGGAGGAGCTCGGCTCCATGAGAGCGTAGGCGGCGTCGAGGTAGATACGGAAGAGCGGACGGTTGGCCGGGGCGCCGACAAGGTAGAGGATGAGCTGCTGGGCAGCAAAGGGGACGTAGGAGGAAGAGATGGCGTTCGGGTCGAGGAGCGAGAGGAGGAGCGGAAGAGTGCCCGGGACAGCGGCGATGGCAACCCGCGGCGACATGTCCAGGGCGCAAAAGTTGTTGAGCATGCGGAGAGCGAGGACGGCGATGAGGCCTGAAACGCCCGAGTCGCGGATGAGCTCAATTGCGCGGGCGTAGATGGAGGGCCCGTGGTCGAGGACCATGCCATTGTCGAGGTTCGACGCGAGGGCAGCGAGCGACTCGAGAGTGCCGCGGATGACCCGGGCGTCGTCCGAGGTGTGCAGGAGGGAGACCAGGACCGGGACGATCGACGCCGGCTTTTCGGGCTGGGCCGAGTGCTCGTTGTTGGAGGTGGGCTCGGACGCGATGTCCATGGGCGCCGGGCCCGAGGCTGTGGTGTCGGCCTCGTCGGAGGCCTCGTCAAAGGTGCTGAGCGTGACTGCGCCGGCCAGCTGAGCAAAGATCTCGATGGCGAGTGGGACGACGTCCTCGGGCAGCTTGTCGAGGGTGCGGACGAGGGTGGCGTAGAGGCCAGAGTGCGCGGCCATGGTGGCGACGTTGTGCGGCTCCAGGGCGAGGAAGCGGATGATGTTGAAGGCTGCGCGGAGGTTCTCATGGCGGCGGACGGCCGAGCCGAGGGTGGCCTGCAGGGCGGCGAGCTCGAGCATGATGTCGAGCGATGGCGGCGGGGCCATGACGCCCGGGGCGCAGTTGGCATGTGCATCGAGCAGCGAGTCGAGCGCAGTGGCGAGGTGCGGGGCCTGGCTCAGCGCCGACCGCAGCTCGTCGGGCGTGCTGTAGAGCTCGGAGGGGTCGATAGCGGCGTGCGGGTCGGCGGCGCGAATGGCAAGGACGTTCAGGTCGTCCATGCGGCAGAGGTCGTGGATGGCGGCAAGGAGGTGGTCGAGCGTGGCTGGTGGGAGCTCGGTGAGCTTGACGGCCTTGGCCCGGTGCTGGGCGTCAGGCGCGTAGACTAGCGTGGTCAGCGCGTTGAGCGCCCACGCCATCTCCTCCCAGTTCTCCGACTGGAGCGCGAGGGCAAGCTTGGATCGGCCGTACGGGGTGACCGTCGCCTGAGAGACCTGGCGAGCAGCCTTGGCTGTGTCCGCCATGGAGAAGATGACCGTCTGGCGCTTGTTCGCCCGGCCGCCACGGACCTCTCCACCACGACGGCGTGACTCTCTCCTGCGGGAGGCGCGGACTTCCCGAGTCGCCACTTTTTCCACAATGACCGGCGGCAGTATCGGCTGCGCCGCATTAGGCCCTTCCTTGTAATCCTTCTTGTACGTGACGGTCGAGACACCACTGTCCAGATCCCTTGCCATATCAAGCGTCCACAGTCCACGGGAGATCATCTGAATGCAGCAAGGGCAAGTATCATGAGCTGCCTTGAAGTGATCGAGATGGCGTCTATAGAGGATGAGCGGGGAGGGAGGGGGGGGGGGGGGGGGGTTGAGTTAGTAAATATATGCACATCCAGGAACTAGTCACCCCCTTCATCGACATGGTCCTCGCCGTACCTCATGTTGCGCTCATGGGCTTGGTAGCACACCGCCCGGTTGCTCCGCGAAGACCCGTTCGAGTGGTAGTTGCACCCAATGTGCGAGCATTTCTGCTGTTCCTCCTGCATCTCCTCTGAATACACCACACGTGGGGGCGGAGGAAGAGGAGGGGAGGG